CCGTGGCTCCCCCGGTGCCCGGCTGTGGTGGGCGGGGGCAGAGCGGCAGGGGCAGGGGCAGGATGCTCCCTCTGTGGCTGGCAAGGAGGAAGCAAGAGTGGTGGCCACCCCCAGGGAAACTCCACGGGGCTTCCCACTGTGGGCACCCACCTAACGGCACGTCTGTGCCCGCAGGCCCTGAGCTGGGCACCCAAAGCCCACAGGGTGAATGTGGCCATGGGACCCCCCCCACCTCTGCCCCACCCGCATCCCCCCACAGGGCGTTGCAGGAGGCACCCAGGCCCAGCTTTTGGGGTCCTCCTCATCCCAGCTCGTTGGCCATCAGAGCGGGTCTGACTCGGCGCCTCTGTTTCCTTCCAGGTGATCCGGAGACACAACCAAGAGGAGAAGCTGCTGTGCCTGGTGCGGCACCGCGCCGGGCACCACTGCCAGAACGCCGTCATCATCATCCTCATCCTGGCCTGGGAGGGCATCCCCCGCACACTGGGGGACACGCTCTACCAGGAGCTCACCGACACCCTCACCAAGTACGGCAACCCCACCAGCCGCCGCTGCGGCTTTAGAGCCTGCTGGGGGCTGGGTGGGGAGGGACACGGGGATCTTCCCCCCCCTCCCCGGGGTCTTGGAGCTGCTGTCACTGTCACTGACACTGACACTGCCACTCCCTCCCACAGCCGGACCTGCGCCTGCCAGGGCAAGGACCCCAACACCTGCGGCGCGTCCTTCTCCTTCGGCTGCTCTTGGAGCATGTACTTTAACGGCTGCAAATACGCCCGGAGCAAAACTCCCCGAAAGTTCAGGCTGGTGGGGGACAATCCCAAAGAGGTGGGTGACCCGGGCAGAGCGGGGCAGCGCTGGGCAGGGCTCTGGGTTTGGGTCTGCTTTGATCCCCAGCTCCGGAGTTTGCCGAGGGGAAGCCTGGCGATAGGGTTCCGTGGTGGGTGAGGGAGGTGAGGGAGTGAAAGCCAACATGGTGAAAGCAGATGGGTTCACCTGGGCATCCCAGAGCCAGGGCTTTTGGTGTCATAGCCAGTGCTGGTACGTGATGGTGTGAGAAGGGAAATGAAGCTGGGGGATGGTCTAGAGCCCAACTGTGGTGAGGAGCAGCTGAGGGACCTGGGGGGGCTGAGCCTGGAGCAAAGGAGGCTCAGGGGAGACCTTCTGGCTCTGCACAGCTCCCTGAGAGGAGGCTGGAGCCAGGGGGGAGTCGGGCTCTGCTCCCAAGGAAGTAGTAACGGCCTCAAGTTGGCCCAGGGGAGGTTGAGGTTGTTCCTGAGGAACAATTTCTTGCCCTGGAGGGTTGCCCAGGGCTGTGCCAGGCTGCCCAGGGCAGTGGTGGAGTCCCCATCCCTGGAGGGGTTCCCAAGCTGTGGAGATGTGGTGTGAGGGACATGGGGCAATGGTTACCTGATGGTGCTGGGTTAATGGTTGCACTCAAAGATGTTCAAGGTCTTTTCCAACCTAAACAATTCTGTGGCTCTGTGACCCCATGGATGGGCTGTCTCTGGAAGCTGTAGGGAAGATGCTGGAGGGCTTACGGGCCAAGTAGGCAAAAGCACAACAGGAAGAGGGTCGAATGACCGAAACCTCACCAGGAATTCAAGCCCCATGCTCTGTGCTGTGATGGGCATTGTGGGGAGGGTCGGACACTGCGTGGCACGTGGGGGGGCTCTGCCCCCAGTCCCACCCTGGGTGACATCCTTCTCTTTTCCCTGCCACAGGAAGAGCTGCTCCGGAAAAGCTTTCAGGACTTGGCCACCGAGGTTGCTCCGCTGTACAAGAGGCTGGCACCTCAAGCCTACCAAAACCAGGTACAGGGCCACCCACCCGCCCCCCCGGGGCACGGCAGGCGGCAGTGGGTGTGGGGTGGTGGCACGGGGGACCCCTGGGCTCACCACAGCCCTTCCCCTGCTGCCAGGTTACCAACGAGGACGTGGCGATCGACTGCCGGCTGGGCCTGAAGGAGGGGCGGCCGTTCTCGGGGGTGACAGCCTGCATGGACTTCTGTGCCCACGCACACAAGGACCAGCACAACCTCTACAACGGCTGCACGGTGGTGAGCAGATGGCTGGGGGGGTTTTTTGGGAGGCTCCCTGCCCTATTTTGGGGTGCTCGTTCCTGAGCTGCTCAGTCCCCGTTGCCCCAGTTGTCTTCCTGCGTGGCTCAAATGAGACCCTTCAGGTCTGGGGGGTGCTGGAGCCACCCCAGCTGGGCTGAAGGGTCCTAACAGGGACCGTGCGTTTGGACTTCAGAGAATCCCAGCACGGTGAGGGTGGGAAGGATCACAGCCAGGAGGGCTTGGGATCTCTCCAGAGCAGGAGACTCCACAGCCTCTCTGGGCAGCTGCTCCAGGCTTGGGCAACCTCGCCCCAAAGCA